CACTGAAGTCAATAGGAATGCTCCAATAAGGATTACTCATGTGAGTAAGGCATTCTAGAATATTGATAGTAGTTGCTTCCAAATGTGCTGATGCACTGTTGTGACATAGTAGTGGATAGAGTAAGCATACCACGATGAAAGTTCAAAGAATTATTGCAAGGATTTTTGACATAATACATCATACCCTAAGACATATTCTTCTATCATTAAAAAGCAACAGAGGGTCCCTGTGGCACCTTTAAGACTAACAGAAGTATTGGGAGCATAAGCTTTCGTGGGTAAGAACCTCACTTCTTCAGATGCAAGTGAAGAAGTGAGGTTCTTACCCACGAAAGCTTATGCTCCCAATACTTCTGTTAGTCTTAAAGGTGCCACAGGGACCCTCTGTTGCTTTTTACAGATTCAGACTAACACGGCTACCCCTCTGATACTCTATCATTCTGAATATACCATCAAGTGAAATGATTACAGCTGAATACAGCCATATATATTCAACATAACGTAAGATCTTTCATTTTACTAGCTACTTGACAAATTCCATCACAATGGCTTCACAAATGAAAAAAATCATTGCAATACTTCTATAGCATATTGTCAATAATAGACAAATACTTTTCATAAGAATTCCATATTAAATGCTTAACTACTGCAAAAGACACTTTCTAAGAAAAAACATTATACATAGTAGAAAATTGGATATAATTTTAACTCTGATGGCATTCCAGAATCTATAAATCATTTACATCTTGAGGGTGAAAAAAGCAAATTGAAGAAGACTGCGTACTAGCAGATTAATCCAATATTGCAGCAGTGTCCCGAGCATAAAATGCAGCAGCAGCACTGTTAACATTGGCATGCAGTGCTGATAGATTGCCTATTATATACTGCCTACTCTAGATGTCATTGGCTAGGTGCTATTAAAACCTAAGATAGATAAGACAAATATTAGTAATATTCACCTCTGTCCTGTTCCAACATCATCTTATTTTGGAAACCAGCACTGCAACTCTATTCATGTTTTATAACAATTGTATTTATAGTACAAATTGGAAAGGACTACCCACTATATCTTTCCCATTAATGTCTTTTGGAACTTGTTCTTAAATAACTGCAGCTAAGGTACTTTGAGCCCCCTTACTTTATAGCCTGTTCCACTGACTAACTGCTGTTACCAGGAGAAGTTCATTCAAATGCAGGAAGGCCTCTCAAAATACTCATTGTCACTTCAGCTCTGTGGCAGGGTTGTCCAAAGAAGAGGGAATTGTTGGGGCACAATGGCGGTGGGTCCAGTGCATGTTTCTGCAGAGGAACCATTGGGGTGGCTTGGAGTAGGGGGCCTCTGGATCCATACATGTCTATATTCAGTGGCTGGGAAACCTCAGAGGGACTGTGTTGCAGGTCCAGCTATCCCTGGCTGGGAAGAGTGGTTGATTTCTAGCCCCCTCAATCCCCACTAATTCCCAGCACAGATACCACTTACTCAGGCTTTGTTCTAGGAGGCTTGGGATAAACTCTTCCTTAATATCTAGCCTAAACTTTTCCTCCCATAGCTCCAAGTCATCGCTCCTTGATTTCCCTTCTGAGACCTTAAATTACTTGTTTCCTTCATATATGGTGATTCTTAAGCCTTTTATGGATTGAGATCACATCCCCAGAGTCTGCTCTCTTCTAGAGTCTTTAATTATGAAGTAAGCACATGGAAGAGTTCAAGATTACTATCCCCAAGGGCATATACAACACAAAGACAGCAGCTGAAAAACGCTAGCCAAGTGAAGGACAGATTACTTTGAGAAATTGGGGGGAAAAATCATCCAGCTCTGATGGACACTTGGTAACTGCAGGAGTCCATCATCTCGTAAGTGTTCAGTCAGAGTGCTTTGTGAATGTTCCAAATGTAGTAAAAAGGCCTACGTGATGTACAAACATTAACTGAACAGCACTTTGAACATATAAAATGCTAGCTGCTAATGGCAGAACACAATTACTTTAGGGGTGCAGTGAGTGAAATGAATTGACCATAAATTATAAAAGGAGGCTTAAGGGTAAAATGCCTGAGGGACAGACGCTAGTGGGTTTGTAAGTCTAAAGTACAGTCTGCTTCATCTAGACAGGGAACCAAGGTGTTTCACAGATTAGTTTTAAAACTGAACTCAGACAGTGTTGGTGCTGTGTTCTAAGTGTCAATGCCATCATTTTAAATGACAAGGATTGGCTATTCCAAGCCATTAGCCTCCCTTGCCCCCAACTCTCCCTCCTGCACAAGCTCTTGCTCTTTTCAAGCAACCTGCTCCTCTCAGATTAAAAGCATGGTCTGATCTCCCACATCCTCAAATGTTTTGCCAGTTGACCCACCCTCCCTCTCTTTCTAATGTCTCCATCTCCTCCCTTCCTTCCCTCTAAACCCATGGAACATGCCATTTGTAGCCATTACGCTGATCCTCCATCTTGGGCCCCTTCCAGTCTGGCTTCAACCCCTTCACTCTATCAACCTTTCTCTCACCCAAGTCTCTATAACTTCTTCCTAGCTACATTTAAGGCCCTGGCCTCCACCTGTTCTCCTTGACCTTTCTGCCACTTTAGGTACTGTTGATCATGCTCTCCTTGAAACCTTTGCCACTGTCCTTTCCTGGTTCTCCTATTATTTCTCCAATGACTCTTTCAACATCTCTTTTGTGGTTCCTCCCCTCCCAGCAGGAGCCCCACAGGGCTCTGTCCTTGACTGTATACACCCTCTCTTTAGGGGATATCTTCAATTAACATCTGTATCTCAATGACTCACAAATGAACCTCTCCACTACTGACCTGTCTTCCCTTCCTACATCTAATCCTACAACTTAGCCTTTCTCTCTGTGAGAACTTTTTCTGGTATTCCAGCCATCAACTTGAATTTAACATAGTTAAAACTGAATCTGAGATTTCATCTGAACCCCTTTCCACTGCTCACTATTCTCTCCCATTGTTGACAATATTACTATCCTTCCTGTCCATCTGACATGTACTCTGGGAGTCATCTTTGACTCCTCCCTCACCTCCCATCTTGATTACTGCAGCCTCATCCTCTTCCACTTCCCTGACACATACCTTCCTCAATCCACAGCAAACACAGCTATTACAATCACCTTCCTCTTCCACTACACTGACCGTATCACCTCCTACCTTCTCATTTTCTTTGAATCACCCTCTGGTTTATCTCTTCCACTGACTATATCCAATTCAAGCTTTTCCTTTTAGGTAAAATTTTCAAGAAGCACCTAAATGAAATTTTCAAAAGTGACTTAGGGCTTGTTTACACTTGAAACACTATAGGGGTGCCAGTGCGCATGGCAGCTGCACCACTGTAGCACTTCAGTGTAGACACACACTATAGCAACGGGAAGGGTTCTCCCATTAGTCCAGATAATCCACCTCCCCAAGAGGCAGTAGCTAGGTCGACGTAATGCTGTCTACACAGGCGCCAACTTTCCTTGGCGCCGGTGGGTGCTTGCATCCCCAGCCCCGCCCTGACTCCGTGCCCTCCCTGTCCCTATTGGATCCATCCCCAAATCCCCACCTCTGCTCCTTCCCCAAGCGCGCCATGTTCCTCCTCCTCCACCCTCCCTCCCAGCGCTTGCCGCATGAAACAGTTATTTTGCGGCGCAAGCGCTGGGAGGGAGGGGGGAGAAGCAGGACTTGGCGGCGCACTCAGGGGCAGAGGCAGAGGCGAGCTGGGGCCCAGGGGGCAGGTCGGGGAGCTGCTGGTGGGTGCAGAGCACCCACCAATTTTTCCTCGTGAGTGCTCCAGCCCTGGAGCACCCACGGAGTTGTCACCTATGGCTGTCTATACTGGGGGTTAGTCAGCTTAACTACATCACTCAGGCGTTAGATTTTTCACACTCCTGAGCGACGTAGCTAGGTCAAATTAACTTTTGAGTGTAGACCTGACCTCAGGCATTTAGGAGCCTAAATCTCATTGAAAATCAGTAGGACTAAGGCTCTTAAGTTTCTTAGGCATTTTTGAAAATGTTACCCTAAAAGCTTGTCTACACTTACATTTTATAGCGCTCTAACTTGCTGGCTCAGGGGTGTGAAAAATCACGCCTCTGAGCGCAGCAAGTTTGAGCGCTTTAAAGCGCTAGTGTGGACAGGCTCCGAGCGCTGGGAACCGTGCTCCCAGCGCTCGGAGCTGTTCTCCTCGTGGAGGTGGACTACCATGAGCGCTGGGAGAGCTCACACGCGACTACACTCACGCTTCAAAGCGCTGCCGTGGCAGCACTTTGAAGTTTCTAGTGTAGACGTAACCTTAATCTTCATGGCTCTTCACAATTCTACCTCTCCCTAGTTACTCAACTCTTATCACTTTCCCCCATCCCGTATGTCCACCAATAATGCCAGCCTTGACTGCTGCTCCTCACAAAACCATTTTACTCTCTTCCAAATCACCCCGAGTTAATCCTCAAAGCTACTCACATATCCCTCCACTCCAACAAGCCTTCCATCGCTGGAGACAGGCATATTCACAGCATAAGATACAATGTATATATGGGTATATTTATTGATTTGTTTATATTACAGTAGTGCCCCAAATGTGCTAGGCTTTGCATAGACACAGAAAAATCCTATCCCTCCTAGCTTACAATCTTCAGGATAGCCACAAACAACGGAGTGGCCACAAAGGAGGGAAAGACAAGTGTTACAAATGTATGATCATGCAGACAGTTGAAGTTATAGTCACTTTTTGATGGCTCCTCTCTGATGGCACATACACACACCCCCATCATCAGATTTTGTATGCTGACCCACTGATGGCTTTGCTCTTTATCAGAACTTTTGGTAATATATGGCTAAAAATCTCTGTTACAGCTAAATTACTGATGATATTGTGCAAGAGTATATCTACCTTGGCAAATTATGGGCATAGTGGAGGCAGGGGGGCAGTGGATCAGGCTGTGTGCACGGTGGCGTGTACGCATTTTGTTGTGCAAGCTGCAGACTTGAGGGGATATGCTAATGACTAAACTCACATTTTCATGCTTCATGTGTTTCAGGAGGCGCAGTTCCCGGTAGGCTCGTTTGGCAAAGAGTTCGGACTGAAATGGGCGGTACAGTTTCTTGATAGCCACTTTGGTGCCATTTCTTCCATCGATAGCTGAGCTTTAAGAGAACAAGAATAGAGTTTGTGAGTGAGGATTGGAGTGATGCTGCAAGTCCTGCCACCCAAGATGCACTGAACAATAGGTTAGAGGACTCCTGGTGTGTGGCTGTGCTCTGCCATGTGACAGAGACAAAGTCACATAACCTCTGGGCTGGTCTACATGGGGGGGGGGTGTCCCAATGTAAGATACGCAACTTCAGTTATGGGAATAGCGTAGCTGAAGTCGACGTATCTTATTTCGACTTACCTCAGGTCCTCACGGCGCGGGATCGACGGACGCAGCTCCCCCGTCGACTCCGCTACCGCCGCTCACCCTGGTGGAGTTCCCAAGTCGATGGGAGCACGTTTGGGGATCGATATATTGATCCCCAATAGATCGATTACTACCCGCCGATTCGGCGGGTAGTTTGGACGTACCCTTTCTGTGCCTTTGTTTATCCTACTGTAAAGTGGGGATAATAACTCCCTAAGTACTACCTCACCAGGGTATTGAGAATCTAGCATGCTCCCAGACCCTTTGATGAAAAGAAGCTAGTATTAGAAAACTGTAAATGGGAACATTTAGGCAGGAAAAAGAGAGATGTCTTAATTCCACTATATTTTATCGGACTAAAAAAGGATTTTTGGTAAAGGTAGAAAGAGGGGAAATTAAAAATTGGCTAAAAAATAGACCATTTCCCTTAGCCAAGTCAGATGAGCCACAGCAGAGGTCTATAAAGTAATGGATGGCACTGAGGTCAATCAGCTCTCATACTGTAATAAACAGTGGAACATTTTTATGAAGTAGAAATGCAAAAGGATAATAGGGAAATGCAGTTTTACAGGACCCTGTAACTGTGGAACTCACTGCCCCAGGACACCACAGAGGGCAAGACTTTAGAGTGGTTGGGAAAGCACTTGGGCATTTCTATGAATGGGAACATGCAAAGTTACCTAGACAGGAGAAGAAAAACAGAAGGGACAGAAACCCTCGCTGGCACTTGAAGAAGAGATTCCCCCTAGGGGCAGATTATTGTAGAACTGTCCGCTCTGGGCTTTTCTTGCAACTTCGTAGCAGCAAGCCCCCCCGGCTAGCTGGGCAAATGGGCGTGGAGTCCCGGGCAGAGCAGGAAACGGGGCGGGACGCACCTGGGCTGGGAAGAGCCAACACCTTCCCCCCACACAGGAGCGGGCTGGGCCGGGCCGGGCCGGGGCGATGCCACAAACTGCTGCCCGTCCGAATTAGCTGCAATTACACCGGCACCGAGGGGAGCGCGGGCCGGGCCGGGGCAGCCAAAACAAAAAGTTGGAAGGAATTAAAGCGAAAGTGGCCGCGGAACCGGCGGGTGTCCCCGCGAGGCAGGGAGCCGAGCCGCCTCCCCAGGGACCTGCCTGCAGCGCCAGGGCGAGCAAAGTCCCTGGCTGTGAAGGGAGCCGCCAGCCCGGCTCCCGCGGCCGGGGTGCGCAGGCAGTGGGCAGCCCTCGTCCAGTCTGGGCGCCCCGCCCGGCCAGGGGGTGTCCTGGGGAGGGGAGACCCACCCACCCCCTTCCCCCCTGCTGCACTCACCAGACAGCGCCGTAGGCTCCGGAGCCCACCGGCTGCAGGTCCCGGTAGCGCTCCCGCACCTCCCATAAGGTTTTCGTGATTTCCTGCCGGTAAAAGCCTTTCTTGGCGGAGGACATGGTGACTCAGCCCCCTGTCGGCGCCTTCCAACAAAGAGCCCTGAGGAGCAGAGAGAGGGGAGCTGCGGCGGCTGGGCTGCTGCGAGGGGCTGGGCTTGGAAGCGCTCCCGGTGTGTGTGTGTGTCCCTCTCTTAGCGGAGATTGAATGTGGCTCCTGCTTTCTCTCTCCCCCCGCAGCATGCCCTCTCAGAGGAGAGGAGGTCCTGCTGGAGCCACTGTGAATGAACCCCCTTCCCTTCCCCCCCTGCATCTGGGGGCTGCCTGCTTTGTGACAGATAAATAACTCTCCTGTGTGTGGCTGCTGCCTGGTGGCAAGGCTGGGCCCAGGGGCTAGGGAGGAGCTGCTCGGCTTTCTCAAACCAACTAGAAACTGGCCTTTTTGTTTGAGATCACGTGGTGAGATATCCCTACACACACACACACACACCCCTCCCCTTCCAAAAAGCCACTTCTAGCCTGTTTCTGTGAAATCTGCTGTATTTGAAGGCAACCTTCTAGATATGTGAGATTCCCTCCCTGAAAAGTTCTTATAAAAAAAAAAGTGTGTGTGTGTGGGGAGGGGATATCTGAATCACACACTCTTGTTTAAATAGATTGTGCTTGGACATGCAAGCAACAAGACAAGGAAGAAGGCAAGGTTTGCACTCTGCATTACAGAGAAGATCCCTACCAAGAGGGGTTTAGGCACCAGCCAGTGCTGCAAACTGGGACCTACCGGCTAATCCATTTAGTTTCCTGTATGGAGCCCATGGGTTTGTCCCAGTGAGCAGTTTGATCCTAGATAAACATTGCACAGACATAAGTAGAAGAGAGTAACCAAAAGCAAGGTGGATTTCCAGAAAATTTGGTATATATTTTAGTTCTATAACTTTTGTAACTTCCGTAACTTGGCTGATGACAATTGCTAACAAAAAGAGACTGGAAGCTGCCCACCACCATCTTCTGCCAGTTCTTCCTTGACTTTTCTCACTTTCTCTTTCCTCCCGCAGGTAACCAATTCAAATTTATTCAATGCTTTCTTAGCATGTCTCCCATCTTCCATACGGTGTCATGTCTCAACCACTAGTGTCTTCTTTCTTTGCTGATATTTTCTAGCATGTCTTGCTCTGTCAGCTCCCTTACTCGCTCGTTTGTTATTTTGTCTTCCCATGAAATGTGTAGTGGCTTCCTTCGCCATCTATGGGGGGCAGCTTCCAGTCTCTTTGTTAGGCAATTGTCATTGGCCAAGTCTCTGTTCCATACAGTACCATGCTTAGTATAATTGTATGGTATAATCTGACCCTTAGTTTGGTGTAGAGATCTGTCAGGCCAGATGTTGTTCATCCTTCCAAAAGTGGTGTTTGCTTTTCCTAATCTCATATGAATATCTTTATCACAACCACCTTCTTTTCCAGCAGTGTACATCTTTGTATCTGTTGTACAGTTTCCTACCTTCATCATCTTGGTTTTGTATGCATTTACTTTCAATCCAATTTTTGCTGCTTCTTGTTCTACCTCTGATGCAAGAGTAATCCTTCAGTTCCACGTCATATTTAGTAAAGCAATGTTGTTGGCAAAGTCAAGGTCATGTAACTCGTCCCTGCTAACCCATTTTATACTGTCCATGATGCCTTTTGTTGCTCACTTCATCACCCAGTTTATTGCTAATGCAAAAAAGTTTGGTGATAACACGCACCCTTGTCTGACTCCACTCACAATATTGAACCACTCACTTAGGCCTGTATCTCATCTTAATTTATATCTCCTTCCATCATATTATGTTGATAAGCTTGTCTGGTATCCCATAACTTCTAGCAATATTTCACAGAGTCTCTCTGTGGACACTGCTTTCTTTAAAGTAGATAAAATTAATTAAGAGGGGGTGTTGCTGCCAATCAGTAGCTTTTTCGATGATCTGTCAAAGAGTGAATATCTGTTCACAGCATGACCTACCTGGAGGGAACCCAGACTTTTCTTGTAATCTTTCATCTACTGCCACCTTCATTCTATTCAGCATAAAGGTAGCCAATTCTTTGCCTTGGATTGATAACCGTACAATACCTCTCCAGCTTGCACACTGAGTAAGATCAGTCTTTTTTTGGCAATGCCATGATGGCACCATCTTTCCAGTCTTGTGGCACTTGTTACTTCACCCATATTTCGTTAGAGTTTTGTTAGCTGCTCAATCAGAATTTTGCCTCCAGCCTTTATTACCTCTACTTGAATTCTGTCAACCCCAGGATCTTTCCCCAGTTTAAGACCTTTGATGGTTGCATTAATTTAATTGGATGTTATTGGTCCCTCTTCTATTTCTAACTTAGCGTTGGCATTTCTCTCCAAGCTGTGTGTGATCATCAGCTTTGGACAGTCTAGTATAGAATGGAAATGTTCTTTCCATTGGCTGGCTTGTTCTTCATGCATTTTCAACACATGTCCATGAGAGTCCCCGCTGGGCACTACCTGTGACAGTCTGGTTCTTCCTTAAATGTCTTCCGGTATTCTATGGAGCTGCTTGAAATCTCCCATCTGTGCTGTTTCTTCTGCCTCTGCAGCCTTCTCCTGAACCCAGGCATTTCTATCTTGCCTGCATCTCTTCTTTATTTCTCTGTTCTTTTCTCTGTATCTCGTAAGCTCCTCTAAGAGTTCTGCCTGTGTCTTGCACTGTTCCATTTTTGCCTTCAGAGCTTTCAGCTCATCAGTCACTGACCATATTCCAGATGTAATCCATGCATCGTTCTTTGACCCTCCCTGATGGCCTACTACTTCCTCTGCTGTCTCAAGTACCATCTTCTCCCAGTTTGACCATCTGTCTTCCAGGCTTTCATCAGCCTGGTACCAGGGGTGCTGGAACAATTTGTATAGTGGGGGAGCTTAGAGCCATTGAACCAAACTGTAAATTTTGTATATGATGGAAACCACTGCACCCCCAGAACCCCTAGTTCCAGTACCAATGCCTGGTACTTTAAAACATTGGAATGGTTGCTAAATGCAATCGAATCTGATCTGCATTTCTTTGTCCTTGAACTTCTCTGTTGTTATAACATTCTTTTGACCAGCTTCATGATCTTTTTGAGTTTAAGATGTAACATGGCCACTAAAAGCTAATAATCTGAGCTAATATCTGGACTTCTGCTGACTCTGACATGCCTCAAAGAAGATGCTCATCTCTTAGATATACACACATGGTCTGTCTGGTTGACAGTGAGACCTGTCCTACTTAGTGCAGATGGTGCTCAAAATCCATTGTCCTCAAGTTTTGGTTTGACTGAATTGTTTCTGTTGCAATAAGGTTTTACCTGCGTGGGTCGCAAACCCTGTAAGTGCAAAGCTAAGGGAAAATTCCCAAGTCTGATCATTTTCACTAGGAAGTCCATTGCTGTGATGCTTCTGCAGCACCATAGGGTCTCTGCTGTGGCAGCTGAGCCTGGAACCGGAGAGTGGTGAGCAAAAACTGGCTGGAGAAAATTGGAGGCTTATTGGGGAATGGGTCTGTAATATGGGGTAATATCACTTCAGGTGAGAGGCTTGGTAGGTCTGTACTACGGTACACCTTGACACAGTGGTGTAAGTTAAGGACAAATGAAGAACCTTAACTATGAATGTCTACATCTCAGCCTTTTCTTTAACGTATGCACAAAGGGCTTACACTGCACCATCTCCGATCCAGCTTTATTTTATATAATATGTGTTATCTAACCTGTAACTGGGTTTGACTCTTTGAAGTGTTTTGGGATAAAAAGTAAAAATAGCAATAGAGCAGGGAAGAAATTAAAAGTTATAGGCAAGGGAGAAAAGGTTTATTTTCAATTTTGGTTTAAAATGAGACACCAACCTTAATTCTGCACCTAGTTATCTCAGTGTAAATCATGAATCCACTGCAGTTATTGGCATTATGTTGGAGTAAGAGGATGTAAATTGAAAGAGAATTGTCTCTGTGGAGTCAATGAAACAGAGACCCACATGATAGCAGTATTAGGTGGCAGAAACTGCAAAGGCACTTGCGCCAGCAGTGGCAAGACTGTGTGGACGGATAAGAAGCCTTACCTGGGGCAGCAGGCACCACTGCTGTGTGAGGATAATTCTTCAGTGCCATATGGAGGGGTTGTTATGCCACTTCCTCTTCCTGCTGCTGGGTTGCACTAGCTGCTTTTGTGCTATGTCAGTGCTTGGTTGTTTTTTGGCCTTCTATTTGCCCTTGACCCCTGGTGTAAGTTAGAGCAGTGAGTGCAAAAGTGAGCTGTAAGTCCCTTTGCATATCTACACCACTGGATTGTGCTCGCTGCTGTTCAGCCTTATCCCAGGAGCACACTCCAAATTACAACATTTTAAAATAATAATAAAAAAGCCCCAAACTACACTTGACTTATACAGTCTTTCAGTGCAAGCAGCCTGGTGCACATTTGCAGGAAAATGTGCCTACATCAGCTTAGAACAATTTCAGTGCAAGTATATGAAGTTTAAGCCCCTTGACAGTACTTCTTTAGTACAGCCGTGACGCCGAAACTTTGTCGCACCCCTCTCTTACCAGTAATGGAATCTGTCTGCGCCCCACCCCCTTCATCATTGTACAGTTGGCTCAGCAGAGGAGCTTGAGCTGAAGGCAGAGCTGGGCTGGGGGCGGAGCAGAGTGGAGCTGCAGCTGCAGGCGGAGGTTGGCTGGGGCGGAGCGAAACTGCGGCTGGGGAAGGAGGTGTGTTGGGGATGGCATGGAGCTGCGACTGGGGCTGGAGCTGGGCTGGGCGGAGGGGGGCTGGCCTTAGCCCTGCCATGTGCCCCTGAATGTTCCTCCTCACCCCTCCTAGGGGGGCATGCCCCACAGTTTGGGGACCACTGCGGTAAGGTATGCGTAGAGCAAACACCTACTTTTAAAAATGTTCTACCTTTTCTCTGTGTGAATATAATTAAAATTCTTTTCCTTTGGGGAGCTGGTAAACCCTTTGTTTTGTCTGACTTCACCCCAAAGCAATGTTGCTGAAGTTAGATAATTCAGGCTTGCTGTCACTGGAGTTCTATTTGTGGCATAGCTCAAAATGGGCTCCAAACTCCACCTGTGGACAAGTTGATTGTTCCGTTCGCCTTTTTGGTAGTTGCCATGGGTCCATTCCTCTTCATGTGTAAATAGCATGTTTGGAAAAACAGCCCCACCTCTCTTCATCTGATGATTTAGATGTCAGACGCAGGAGAAAAACAGGCTTTCCAAATTGTTTGTGGAGACACATTGTAAATTCATTCGCAGCCACACCAGA